ATTAAATTCTTATGTTTATTATGCAAACGTGCTTTGTTTTTATTGTTTGAGACAATTTATTCTTCTTTTATAGATATTATCTTAGAGAAATGGATTTGGAATATGAACTTGAAGTTCAGAAAAATGGAAAAAAATCGTTTCTAAAGTTGTTTCAGTCCATTAAAGAAGTTATTCAAAAGCATAACCAACTTCTACTGTGAGTTATCATGACTTTTAAAGTGTTTATATCTCAGTGAAGTATAATAATTATTTCAGGATGTTCGAAACATTGAATAATTTCATTAGACCCGTGATGCTTGCGGCATTAGCGGGAACGTCTGCGACTTTCGTCATGACCGGAGCTTGGGTAATATTTGATGAGTACTTTAACTTTTTGCTTCCTCATAGAGGAAGCTATGTGATAGGCTTGAAAATGAGATTTGGAACCAGACATCGTAGGAAAATTTGGGTTACACATTTGGAAACTACATTGAATTACCTGCAAATTTATTCGATAACCCTAATTTTTCGCCCCAACGTAAAAACCGCACTAATAAATCCGAGGGGCATAATTCAATTATTTCATGTGAAAATGAAATATTTCGAAAAATTTGACCTTGCCATCGGAAAACTGGCGTAGTTTTCCATCGAAAACTTATGTTATATATTTTTTTCTATAAGCATTTAGAGATTTTCCTGTCGAGTTAGAAATTAAGGAGGTTCGGGAGTCTCAGAGGGGGACGAAGCGGGACGCGAGGGGCTCCTATACTTCCAATGTTAAATTTTCAGCGCTGCCAACTTCGAAATAACACGAAATTGTAGGTTTTTTCAATGAGCTGGCACACAATTATAGCTATTATTAATAATTCAATCATTTTGATGAGTTTTTTTCGATGTTTTAGGCTTAAAACAATACTCTATTTGTCATTAGAGTCGAATGAGCACATATTTTTGTTGTTCTAGCTCATTTGTTGGTTAGGGTACGCGCAAATGACCCACGAATTTTTACACATAACAATTTATTTCTCGATAACTAAACGGTCGATGAACTTCTTTTTGCAGTCAAATTATTCCTTATTAAATTTCCTACATGTACGTATTTTTTTCTATTTAGTTTTTGTTTTTTTACATTATGTTTATGCTCATTGAAAGCGAAAATTCATGATTTCTCGTAAGAAACCATGTTAAATGGTCAAAAAATTTTTTCATCATTTTAACAAAATTTTGCGGTGAAAAGTTGTATTTTGATATAAACATTCATATTATAAAGTTTCAAAGCAATTGAACGTGTTTTAAAAATTTGGCTGCATTTCGCTGAGACTCCCGAACCTCCTTAAGCCATTTCGCGCAATAATGCCCGTTATCCCGAAATAAAGTAGTTTTTGCTTCCACAGATAAACTCAAAATAATTTTTAATGGTAATACGACGTAACATTGTCCACAGACTAACCACTCAAAACTTTTTGTCTACTTGAAAATTAGAGCGCGAAAGATTCGTCGCCGAGCGGCTATGTCGTTACGATCAAATAAGGCACCTTCTTACCGTGGCGCGTCGATAAGTTCTCACCAAGCCGCAACAAGCGAATAAGGCAGGTTTTTGCAACTAGAGCTTATAAGTGTACTTTTAGCGCTTGAGAGATAATTTTCAAAAATTCCCTAAAAAATCAAACTAAATTAAACTTGAACCTAGCTAAATTATCAGGGAGATTTTTTACCTTTACCTGCCGAAATCATCATTAGAGCAAAACTTGCAGATAATTAGTACCAGACTTAACTTTTTGAATAAATCAGGATATATTTCATTTTCAAATTTTATACTTCTGATGTAGCATATATTTACCTAACGTTCAACAATACATGAGTGTATTTCAACCCTTTTATATTTACTTGAACCCTTTTATCAACTTTTTATATTTTTATATTCCATTTTCAGGCTATAATATTATACGAAACGCATAAAGGAGAGGCCATGAAATTATGCTGTGGATACTGGTGTTCAGCTTTAACACTCATTGTTATATGCATTCCGGGTCAATTTCTCAGTAACGCCAGTGATGGTTTATTTAATGAAATGTAACAGAATCTAAAATTTTAATCCTTTACTTTATAGTTGAATAAAAACATTATTCTATGTAACAGTTATTTCATCAAATGGGAAAACTACCCTCCAAAAATTAGATCAATGATCGTTCTTTTTATGATAAAAGGAATGAAGACCTTAGCACTTACTGGAGGACCAACATTCGCATTGAATTTTGAGACATGCAGTCAGGTGAGTTGGTAAATGCAAATATCTAGGAATTAATTAATAATTTATTATAAAAAATTTCCAATATTTTTAGATATTAAAAACAACTATGTCGTTTATAGCAACATTCAGATCTCTCTATGCTTCAAATTAAATTTTCTAAACTTTATTCAATATTAACTATATGAAAAATAGACTTCCGATGAACATAATTATCATAGTATAAAAAAATTGTTTATTCAACTTTTGTTTGTGCCACCATAGTTTCTATTTTTAGAAAATCAATAATTTACACCATCAATATATAAATTACTGATTAAAAGTGTGTCAAGCTCACTACTATCCACGGGAAAATATCGTAGTGCTCATCTAAATTATGTAATTATTGTTACAGAAACAATAAATAACTTTTCAAGCACCAAGACCTAGAGAATGTGACAATTTTTATAAATTTAGAAATCATTGCATATATTTTGAAATTTTTCATGGTCATGAAAATGACTACTGATAACTTCACAAGGAGAAAAAATTTAAATATGAATTTGAATAATGCAAATCCTAAAAAAATAGTAGAATTAAAAATAAATATTGCTTATTGCCGGAAATAGTTCTTAAAACTGAATAATAATTTCTTCCACCTCCATTTAATTTTAAATGACGTTTGATAATAATTACCTTAAACAATAAACGTCCTTAAACTACCCTGAAAAGTGAATGATGGATTTATATATCTCGCAGCTGAATGAATAAATGACAATTCGCATTTTTCTTTTTGCCTCAAAATAAAAATGGAGTTTCAAAACTATTCAAAGTTCATAAGTCACTTTTTTCTTAGTACATTACGATCAGTAAAACTAGATTTTTAAATTGAAATCAAAAATATTTTTACCCATCAATTCACGTGAAAATGATGTCTGGATTTAACAGTGAAATTGAAAGTAAAGAGATTCTTAATCGATTCATAGATTCCTGTTTTTCGAATAGTGCTTCAAAAATGGTAGAAGTTATTTTTTTACATCCTTTACAAAACAAAAATTTACAAAAAATTGGCCGACTTATCTTTAGCTCACTCCTTTCGATTACGATAGTTGGCTTAGTAAGTATTTTACAGATTTTACTAATTAATTTTTTCGGTTCACTCATCTGTTTGATATACTAATTAGGTACTGAGATGTTATGTAGAAATAAAAAACAATACATTCAATACCGTTATCCTTGCGCCAACTGTCTACGAATTTTTATCTTTCATGCCATTGCAAATGATTTACATAATAATAATCTTCAATGAAAATCAGGTAATGAGGTTTAAATATTACATTTTTTGAGCGGTAAAAATGTTTTATATTGTCATGAATTTTATAATTAAGATTTAGACCCTAACATCGTTTTTAGACGTATTAGTCATATCCTTAAATCTGACCCATAGTTCGATTAGAGTGCTATTCCCATTATTCAACTCGGAATACATTAGTTATGTACAGTTTGGCAACACATCTTCATTTCGAGTCATATACTGTTAAATTAAGCTCATTATTTAATTTTATTGCAATGATAATGAGTTCAAATGTTCCAAACATCATAAATTCGCAAAATATTAAAATATTCATGAAAAATTGAAGTAAAACATTCATTCAAGATAATAATTAAGCTTTTATTTTCTAGTTACATAAGGAATTCAACCTGATGTCCAAAATATGGTTTCACAGCAACTTTTCAGAACAAGAAATTATATCGAAAATCGTTAAAAAAGGATTGCAGTTGAGTCAATTTATAACAGGTCAGATGCTTTATAATTTACCAGTGCAAATTTACATGAGACATATAACTATGAAAATATTAGAATAACATTATACCCATGTCATTTTTTTATTTTAAATGTACAAGATTGATTTAGATTTGGAATTACTTATATACCAATTTCTTAATAATATGAGATTAATAGTACTTTACGATACAAGTGCCATAAGTAACACTTTTTGGCACGGTGCAGTTTGGGGTCCGTAGCGAAGATCCTAATAGCTGGGCCGATAAGTGTCCCCATGGCACGAGTATCGTACATTATTTTATAACAGTGAGTGGCTAAAGTTCACGTTTAAGGCACGCTTTGCCGTGACTTGAGCTGCTTATTATTGCACCGCGACGCTATTATGAGCACCTTATATCTCGCCAAAGAAGGCCTAAACGTGAATTTAGCACAATGCTATAAAAAAGCATAAGATAATTATGACTCAAGTAGCCCATTCTTACCACGGCACTGACCGTGCCGTGCAATAATGGCACACGTATCATAATATACTAATATTGTACACGTGACATAATGTACTAGTACGATACTCGGGCCATAGGGGACACTTTTTGGCACGGCGTAGTTTAGGGCCCGAGCGCAGCGACTTATGGCACTTGCATCGTAAATTACTATTTTCAGTGTCGATAATAATACTAGGCAATTGTTTTGTTGCTACAACGTTTGCTCCAACAATATTGAGTACGGGATTTGGAATCAATCAGACGTTTGAAAACACATTTCCACTCCATACCTATTTTTTGATCAATGAAGAAGAAAATTTTTATTTAATACTCGTCCTTAACTTCTTAAGTGTTAATGTGGTAGTCACTTTGATTGGGGCATTAACAACGATTCAGTGTTTGTTCATCGCTTTTATTATTGCTGAAATTTACAATCAACAGTAAGCATGAAATAATACTTCGATTTTCCATTCTATTATTGTGGTTAAATAATGGTTATTTTTTTAATAGATATTACATGAAAAAAATGGATTTCAAATATGAATATGAAGTTCAGAAAAATAAAAGAGAAGCTTGTACACAATTAAAAGAAGCCATAAAAGTAGTAATTCAAAAACATTACCGATGCATACAGTGAGTAATTTCAACTTTAAAATATTTTATCAGCTGTAAAGAATGTTATTTAATTTTAGGTTATTTGAAACATTAAATTCAGTTGTTAGACCTGTCATGCTTGTAGCAGTTGTCGCCAGTTGTTTAAATCTTGCCATAAGTGGAGCTTGGGTAATCGATCTAAAATGCAGATAATTTTCAAAGATATGAAAAACTCCTTTTGGCTGCAAATATATTAATTATATTATTTTTTCAAATCGTGAATTACAATTATTATTTTATTTTATATGACCAGGCTATAATTTTGATGCAAATCAACAAAGCAGAAGCTTTAAAAATGTTTTTTGGATACTGGATGGCAGCTATAAGTCTTATCGTTACGTGTATACCTAGTCAATTTTTGAGCAATGCTAGTGACGATTTACTCGTTAAAATGTAATAGAATTATTCATTTCAATCTACTAATTGAAACTAGAATTAAAAATTGTTTTTTGATGCAATAGTTACTCCATCAAATGGCGAAATTACCCTCCCAAAGTTAGATCAATGATTGTACTGTTAATGACAAGGGGACAAAAGCCCTTTGAACTCACTGGTGGCCCAACAATTGTATTGAATTTCGAAACATGCAGCAAAGTACGTTCTCATATTTTTATTTCTTAAATTAAAAAAAAAAATACTTATATAATCATTGTACTTTATAGATATTGAAATCAACGCTGTCCATGATAGCAACATTCAGATCTATTTATGATTGAACTTATCTTTTTCCTTTTTTTGTATAATATAATGTAATGTCAAACTCACTTGTTTATCAAATTTCAAAAAATAGAATAAATTATCGAATTAACGGACGAAAACTGTATTGTTGTAAAGTTGTATAACGATTTTAGCCATCCTAGCCTTTTTACACCACGAACTAACTATTACCACGAAATAACTATTTTCAATATGGCTCTAGAATATTACTCTTAGTGCTAAAACTTTGCTTTTTCTCATTTGGTTTCGAAAATTCATCCGTGTGCCATCTGGCGGTAACTTAAACGAAAAACAAAAAACAAAATGGAATTATAACTACAAGAGGTCAGAGCCTATAAAAGATCTTCTCCAAGAGGCAGGGCATTTTTGAGTTTATGTTAACAGACAGTAAATTGAATATGGTTACAGAATCACCATCAACCAATATCAGTCACATGTTGACACGAACGAAAAATCATTACATTCTCAAATACTAAATAATTTGTATCGTTACGACTATAGTAGTAAACCTGAAGGGATAGTAAGACCACTCCTAAAAAACTACCATTCAAAACGGTTACCTCCCACTTTCCCAAATCCGCTTTCACGATAACCATTTTCACGACAATGAAAATTTTTTTTATTTTACAAAAAATATCATTGCTACAATTAAATCGTTTTGTAAATAATTAAATAATTTTGACAATTCAACTTAATACTTACAAGGAGACCTTCTCACCTTCGGGTCATGGATTTGCTCCAAAATTTTTTTGGGGTCTCCTGGTACCCTATACTGAAGCTCTCTGTGCTTAGTTTGATCTCATGGGCCTTAGGGCCCATTTTGTAGAGGATTTTCCACATTATAAAAAAAATCGTTGTTATTTTCTATATCGATAATAGAAGTACTTAATTGAAAAAATGAGACGATAAAAAGTTGTAAAAATTTTCAAAGAATCTGCTTGAATTTTTTCAAAAATTTTTGGACTATCTATAATAATTTTACATTTTTTAAATGATTGTTTATGACCGTACATTTTTATTTCCTCAGAACTGTATACGTCCTCTAAGTGCCGTGAAAAATTAATGATAGAATTATACTTCGTGACCTCGACGCAAAAAGCTATCGTTTTAAACTAAAAAGCAAAAACAAACCTAAATATGTTATAAAATATAATTAAGTTACGTTTTTGCTTCTGACTTTGAAATGACTCTTTAAATTGAAATTACTTTTGGGCATCAATTCACGTGAATATGCTGTCTAAATCTAACATTCATATTGAAAGTGAAGAGATTCTTAATCAATTCATGAATACCTGTGCTTCGAATAGTGCTTCAAAAATTATGGAAGCTATTTTTTTACATCCATTACAAAACAGAAATATACAAAAAATTGTCCGACTCATCTTTAGCTCACTTCTTTCGATTACGGTAGTTGGTTTAGTAAGTATTTTACAGATTTTACGAATTAATTTTTTCGATTCATTCATCTGTTTGATTTACTAATTAGGTATTGACATTTTATGTAGAATTAACAAACAGCACCGTAAATATTGTTATTGTGGCTCCAACTATATTTGAATTCTTATCTTGTATGCCACTGCAAATCATTTATCTAATGTTGATATTCAATGAAAATCAGGTAACGAGATTTAAACATTAAAATTTTTGAGTAATAAAAATGTTTCATATCGACACAAGTTTTGAAAATAAAATCTACACTTCTGTTCCTTTTTACTTTCTAGAGATTTTATATTTTTTAAGTTATCGATGAAAACTTACTCGTTGAAAAGTAAAAAGATTATTTCCATCCAAATCCATTCATTTCAATCACGATTAACGATTGTTTTTTCGTTGTAATAGTTACTTATTTTTGATTTTTGTATTCGGAAATGATAATTATTTGGGAAAACTAGGGTTATGTAGGATTATTTTGAATTTCTTATACCAATAATGATTATTTTTGATAAATTTTAATAAAATATTTTATTAAATTGTATGTGGAAGTAGTCTAAGTTGATCTTATGCTTAGCTTGAGGTTGCGTTGATGGATAATGATCCATCAAAGAAAATGAAATGACATACAACTTAGTCGTGTCATGCAATCACTTAGAATCTTACGGCAAACAGCTAAGATATCCTCAATGCTCATCGCTGAAGGGTCATAGGCTGATGCAATTTAATTTAAGTGTTTAACTGGACGAAGTACTTTCAAATGGGGTATTGAAAAAGGCTCTTATGCCTGTTGCTGAAAAAAGTTTTTTTCATTTTTTCAGCTTAATGCTATAAATAGAAATACACTCGGCAACAAAATTATCGCAACAAAAAAATTCATCGAAATTTTGTCGATTTTCAAATGCTTCTATCTTGGGCTAGATTTATCGTATCGACACGCTTTTTTTTTTAATTTCTTGGAAATTTTGTCCTCTTTAAATCCATATAAATTAAGATAAGATTTGAGTTAATGTTGAGTTACCAGTAGTATTTGAGCGTGACCCTAAAAATTACTGAAAAAAAATGACTGTTTGAACGTGTACCAGTACCACAGTGATTATTTTATCGAAATCTAACATACACCATCGCAAAGTGCTCTTTTTAACGAGTAATTTAAAAAAAAAAGGACCTCTCTACGATTTTTTTAACGCCCTGTAGGTCGATTTGAAGATACCATTTAAAGTACGTAAAATCCCCCGTTTAGCTGAAATCAAGACAATTTTCTGGGCTTTTTGCGTACATAAACCGTACTTTCAAATCGACCTACAGGGCGTTAAAAAAATCGTAGAGAGGTCCTTTTTTTTTAAATTACTCGTTAAAAAGAGCACTTTGCGATGGTGTATGTTAGATTTCGATAAAATAATCACTGTGGTACTGGTACACGTTCAAACAGTCATTTTTTTTCAGTAATTTTTAGGGTCACGCTCAAATACTACTGGTAACTCAACATTAACTCAAATCTTATCTTAATTTATATGGATTTAAAGAGGACAAAATTTTCAAGAAATTAAAAAAAAAAGCGTGTCGATACGATAAATCTAGCCCAAGATAGAAGCATTTGAAAATCGACAAAATTTCGATGAATTTTTTTGTTGCGATAATTTTGTTGCCGAGTGTATATAGTTATTCAAGCTCCCTTTGAGCCCTTAAAAACCAGATATTTGGACGATGATAGGCCGAAGTACCCAAATCTCAAGCTGTCAACGCCACAAAAACTTAATTTATATATTGGTAAATATAAATAGTATGAGTAAAGGTTGATGCTGATGCCTAGTTTATAAAATTCTAAAGTTCATAGAACTTTATGCAACGGGTGCGGATGTGCTTTTTCTGCAAAATGAGGGGTTGCACGAACTGAAGGCAAGCGAGTTTTGCTGAAAAAGTTTACTTTTACAAGTTGCATACAATATTTTATAGCACAAGAGCTTAAACCTAGCAGCAAAGTTGCGATTTTTAGGTTAGAGCGCTATAAAAATTCTTAATTGCATTATTTTTATTGCAGCTCTCGTATTGAAATGGAGCAAGCTGAAAACACAATATAAGTTGCTCACTCTTAAACAATAACTTGATGAGATAAGAAAGTGTACCGATCCATTATTCTTTCTCATCAGGTATTGTCGTAAAGAATAAAAAAAAAGAATAGCGACAAAAAATATAAATTAATCGTTTACTGTTTCATAAAAATTCTTAAAATATTAAAAACTTCATAAAAATTCTTTCATAAAAATTCTGAAAGTATTAAAAACTTAAAATTATTGTAAATTTTCATCATTATGTTTTGAACTAATCAGCAGAATTCGTATGTAGGTGAAATAAACAAGTGAAATAAAAAGCTATGCGGATTCGATAAATTTTTTATCTAGCTAATTATTTTTTTTTACCTTGATGCTATCCCGCATTGAACATAATTTTCTAAAATTTATCGTGATGGATTGCGTTTGAGTTCGGGATTATTTGTTGTAAAAAAGTATTCTTCAAACTCAGAATTGTCCGATATAAAAATTCAATAGTTGTCTTTAGTATGAATTGGGCGTATGAATACTTTTTTCGATCATGAGTTTTTTCCAAGCAAATTTCCAGGTAAGCAAATTCATCATGCCACATCAATCTGTCGAGGTCAAATAATTCAAAATGAATTGTTTCAAACTGCATTGTAATGGTTACCTATCCAACCGAAAGTGATAATTTTCGACCTACGGCAATGTTCAAAATTACTAGCTTCGTTTGGATGTACCAAGAAAAAAATTTTCCACTTACAAATACATAACCTTAGAAAGCATCCGAAAATCAGTTGATAAATCAGTTGATAAGTCAGTTGATAAAGCACTTGAAAAATCATGTCAAATAATCACTTGCTATATCACTTGATTTATCAACTGACTTATCGACTGATTATTTTCAATAGGGATGCCGATCGGTAAGATAATCCATTTTAACTCAAAATTCTTGAATGATTTATATAATTAAAGATTCGTATGTTTTTAGATGCTAAAAACGACACTGTCATTTATAGCAACATTCAGACTGTTATAACAATAGGTGAGACCTAGATTAAGGCACTCGTTGCGTAAGCATTCGACGGTTGCACGCGCGAGCGTCTGTGGAAGTATAACAGTATATATACATTTAATCACAATCAGTTAGAGCAATGTGTCATTCAATTTTCATTTATTTTGTAAAAATATATTGATATCGAATCACCAACATTAAAATGTACAAAGAGTACTGTCAATAAAATTTGCTCCACTATCATTTATTACCTGACATTATACCGATTCATTTTAGAACTGATCATATTTATCCATGTCCATCACCCTTCAAGAAAAGCCCAAACCTTAATTATAAATTTAATCATTTCAGCAGAAATAGCAGTATTTCCTTATATAACATAATCTTGACAACTAATAATTACAATTTTTTATTCACGAAAGATTTTCTTCGATGCTATAATCAACCAATGGCACTGTGATGTAATATAACAATTTTTAACATTTATTTTTTGTATATTTTTCAAATGTAGTGACAGTAC